TTTTTTTTTTTTTTTTTAGTTTGCCTTGCAACCTTTAGTTTGGTCTCTCTGTTATTAGGGTAGAATTACAGAGTTTAGAATTGGAAAGGTAAGTGAAGGGCATCTAATCTATTTGATAAACAGATCCCCTTAAACAGCCATTCAGTCATCCTATGAATATATCCAGTGATATAGCCCCTGCCTCTGGTAGTAGCCCTTTTCCTCCTCACACAACTTGGAGTACCTGAAATTACAGTCTTATAATGACTCCGAGTAGCGTTGATATTTTGCAGTCATTTGGGCACTGGTGAGAGGAATGACATTTAAATTCAGATATTATGTAGTAGATTCTCTGTTCTTTCTCTGTGAAGACTAATAATAGCTCTCATTTATTTTAGATATGACTCACATGAATGAAACTCTTTCCCTTGATCTCGTCCTTCCTCCCCTCCTTCCTTCCATTCTTGCCTCCTTCCTTTCCTCCTTTTTTTTTGGCTAGGGTTGGGGGTGGGACAAGACCAGCCCAGTATTATACTGTTTCTCTGGAAGAAATTAGAAAAGCATCTTTTAACAATTTGTTAACAATTCTTGTAATTTTGTGTATAAGATAGATAGACATTCAATTTAATATTTATTGACCTGGTAATATGGAAAAGAAACCATGTGAGTAGTGGATGATGAGCTATTAATTATATATTTCCTGACATGAGGAAATGTTAATTCTGGTAGATAAGTCATCTGTATGAATGATTGTAATAATTGACAGTGTGATGCAAGTTATAAGATTAATTCAAGCAGAATGTTACAAAGAAATTAATTCTGTTGCATTGGAACTAGCTTGGAAGAGTGGATACTATTTTATCAGGTGGCATATAGTTGTACATGTCAAGAACAATGGCAGCAAAGGCTAAAAAGTGGACGACTACAGAGCATGTTTTTCTGCAGGGAGTAGAGGCAATGAGGAGGAGTACTGGGGTGGGGTCTAAACTCAAGTGGTGGTGACCTGTCCTTTAATGCTAAGTTAAGGAGTTTGAACTTTATCATTTATTGAAATAATATTTTTGATCAGATGGAGAAGGAGAAATAGATAAAGCAAGGCAGTTTATCAAATGGCCAATGTCCGGGTGTAGGGCTGGGACAAAGAAAGAAGCTACATTGCCGCTTCCTCTCTTTGGAAGGCACATTGTACATTTTATGGATACTGATGAAAGTGTTCTACTATATGTGCACTGTAAAAATCTGAATCATTGATTCAAAACACAGTTTTGGAGAATCTTCAACATTTCCATCACGTGGAGGGGGGGTTGTGGTGGTATACATATATATACATAATTTCGTTTGAAGCAGATATTTAAAAGAAACCTCTTTGGTAATTATCAGCAATTACCTTTCTAATGCAAAAGTGCACTTACAATGAATGTTATTTTTATCTGAAAATATTTTTCTCACTTAAGGTGTAGGCCTAAAAGTTCAATATTTGCCCATTCACAGCAAAAGCAAATTGGAGAGCGATAACAAACCGAAAAATTGTGGTCAGATAGTAAAATTAACTTAATTCATGTTTTCATAAAAGCCTAACTCAATTTCTTTATATATGTCAGTTACAAATCTTACTAAGGATTTAGATGGTGGAGTTAATGATTTAATGATCAAAAGGACATATTAAAATTCCTCAATAATAAGGGGTCTCAAACGACCTAGGAGGTTAAACAGTGTTTCCCCCATACTACTTCTGCTCTGTTGGCCCCTATACTTATCCTTCTAGCTAATGACTTAGAGTAAATGAAACCACTTAAACAAGTCTTTGTAAAATTAAAGACATTTTATGTGCAATAGTGACCATTCTAATCCATCACTACTTGCAAAGAAATTCTATCAGACCAGTTGTGTGGACAAGATATTTCTCTCTCTTTCTTCTGTAGGAGTGTGTGGTCTTGAGTATGAAATCAGCAAACTAGTGAATATAACTTTGATTTCAAAATGAGATGTAAAAAAAATTGGCTCCTGTATATTGCTTAGTACCATGAAGAATAACCACTGATTGGTCACTACAGCAGGCAGTAGTCACATTACCGTGTACCAATAGTCTGTGCTCATGTAAGACCTCACATTAACACCCAATGTCTTGCTTTGTTGCCTTGCAGAAATGTTGGACTCCAACAATGTGATCACTTTCAATGGCTTGGCCAACAGCTCCAGTTATCATACCTTCCTTTTGGATGAGGAACGGAGTAGGCTGTATGTTGGAGCAAAGGATCACATATTTTCATTCAACCTGGTTAATATCAAGGATTTTCAAAAGGTATCTGTATTCTAATACATATACTGTAGTTCTTTTGAAACAACGCAAGTTATAAGGAATTCTTTAGCTATTTAACAGGGTGATACTGGGGGCCGGCCCGGTGGCGCAAGTGGTTAAGTGTGCGCGCTCCGCTGTGGCGGCCTGGGGTTCGCCGGTTCGAATCCCAGGTGTGCACCGACGCACCGCTTGTTAAGCCATGCTGTGGCACCATCCCATATAAAGTAGAGGAAGATGGGCACGGATGTTAGCTCAAGGCCAGTCTTCCTCAGCAAAAAAAAAAGAGGATGATTGGCATCAGATGTTAGCTCAGGGCTGGTCTTCCTCACACACACAAAAAAACCACACAAAAAAAAAACAGTGTGATAACTGAAAAAATTGTTTAATATTTTATCTCTTAAGATGCAAATAAAAATAATGCATTAATTTGATTATTACAAATCAATGGATGCAGTAAACCATAAAATCGTTGAGGAAGACACCATAGTATTTTCAATGATCATTATAAGAAGTACTAACTTGAGCTTATCCTTCCACAGCTATATCATTTTCCTGCATAGAATTAAATACTTGAACCATTATAGAAATATATCATAGCTGATTTCATGTACTCTGTATATTATGTATAAATTTATACATCTCTCTATGTTCCCTGCAAATGCAGAGTTTATCAGTCATTATACACATGCCCATCTGACATGTCACCTGTGTGTGTAAATAAAGTTTATTGGAATGTAGAAACTCTCATTCATTTATATGTTGCCTCTCTCTGCTTTTGTTCTACAATGGCAGAGTTGAGTAGTTGTGATAGAGATCATCTGGCTCACAAAGCCTAAAATATTTACTATCTGGCCTTTTAAACAAGAAGTTTGCCAAATCCTGATCTGGAAGATCAGTTTTCAGTGTCAGGCTTTTGCGCATGTGGTTATTTAGACACTAGCAATCTATAAGTTTTATTCTTATTCTTTATAGTGTTTCTGGCTTATTTAATTAATAAGCTGTATAGTTTGGAAAATAAACAGATTGACAAATTAGTGGAAATTGTGCTACTGAGTCTATATGCTGTACTCTAAGTCAACCATTTTTTTTCAGTCAATATTTCCAGTCTTAATTCTCTGAGGAACAAAGATCTTTATGCAACAGCTTTCGCAAGAGTGCTAGTGTAACATGCTTTTTAGAGTACATACACTGCAGTAGTTATGTATGTTAGTTTTGTGTCTTCTTAACACTGAGGGCTTTAAAGTGGTGTGCCTCAACTTCTTATAAACTGTAAGATATTAGACATTAATTTTTAAAAAGTAACAGAATTGTAAAAAGCTTTTGTTCTGGTTGAAGAATGTTGCTTTTGGGATACAGTGAAGATTTAAATTCAAAGCTAATTAATATCTCTAATAGAGTATACCACTAAACCTAAGACTTTATTTTCTTTTATTACCCAAACACTAAACTTCTAACTTATGTATAAAGATATTTGATTCATTACATATAGTCATATAAAATGGCAATGCTCTTACTGATAAAATTTAGAATTAAGATATGGCATTTAAAAATCACCTTGGATATTTCTTTTCTGACTTTTCAATCTGTTTGATTTCTTAGCCTCCTCAGATGATAAGAATATCCCTAAGATTATCTATTATCTAAAAAACACTGGTTATTCATTTGTTTTTCTGAAATGATAAAAATATTTTTCTTAGTGAAAGGAAACCATTCTTTATAAAATGAATGAAAAATCTAAAATGCTTAAGGGAAATTCGATGTTTTATAATAGGAGATTATATCAGTTCATATTTTCAGTGTTTATGACATTTTTAACATTTTGTAAAACATATATATGAATATAAATATTTATATATTTATAGGTAGACATTAAGCACATATCACTTCAGAATATATATAATGCATTTAATGTTTTTATCTGAATAAATATTTTCAATTTGGTTTATATATTCAATTGATTCTAAAATTGAAAAGAACTAACTTATCATATAAGACAAGCTACTATTTTATAGGTGAGAAAAATCCTACAGCCATTTGTATGCCCAGGATATATCACAGTATCTTCCACCAGCTAGATTTGTAATAAATATATACTGAAATAAAGAATTAAATAAAAGTTAGATGACTTGCTCAATATCATAGTGTTCCTGTTATAGCTCCTGCTCATGAGTTTAAAATCGTTATTCTAATAATAGAAGACATATTTCTAATTTTAAAACATCCATTCCAAACATGTTATTTAATTTTAATTATATCACACTGTTTATAAAAGTAAATACAATTTACTTGTTTGTTTATTAATGCTCTTTTTAACCTATGTATAATGTTATTCAACAACGTTTTCCTAAGCATCTACTATTGTGATAAACTCTATAGAAGATACTCTAGTATTTCATAAATAATTCTTGAGGAACTTACAAGATAATATTAAAGATAAGATGTATGAGCATAAAGGTAAATACTAGGCCAATCCCTGTTAAAGACAAAAACACATTCTCAGATTTGGAAGGACCCTGGAAAGATTCTTGGCTTTCATAAAAGAGTGCAATTTCTTTCTTTTTTTTTTTTTGTGAGGAAGATCAGCCCTGAGCTAACATCTGCTAATCCTCCTCTTTTTGCTGAGGAAGACTGGCCCTGGGCTAACATCCGTGCCCATCTTCCTCCACTTCCTATGGGACACCGCCACAGCATGGCTTGACAAGCGGCACATTTGTGCACGCCAGGGATCTGAACCCCGGGCCGCCGCAGCGGAACGCGGTCACTTAACTGCTACCCCATCAGGCCGGCCCCAAGAGTGCAATTTCTTCAAGGCATAAATGCTTATTAAATAATAAGAAAGAGAGGCTGCCAGGAGTAGCAGCATGCAGGCATAAAGAAGGGAAAGTGTAAAATAGATCATGAAGCACTTTGAATATGAGGATAAGGTATTTAGACATTGTTAGCTAACTGAAAAATTTTTGAGCAAAGAAGAAAAAATACCAACAGGTTAACAAATCTAACCAAAAAGTTAGGAATTATTCTTCATGGAAATGGACACTGTTGGAAAGACAATTAATTATATGTATATATTTATTCCCCTAACTTATACTTATCCTGATCAAATTGCTTTCCAAAAGATCATTTTCTATATCAAAATGTATTTTACTCATGCCAAATCTTTAAGCTTAAAAAACATTTTTTTTTTACTCTTGAACTCTAGAAAGAGTACATTTTCCTCTAAGGCTGAGAGAATTTAGCATGAATGTTATCAAAATTATTTATTAGTATTTGACATAAGAGAGAAATCACAAAATGAGGCCGATACTATCTCAACACCAACAATCAAGAGCTAGGAAACTGAGAAAACAACTCAAAAATTTAAACTTTTTGAATTAAAATATTATCTGTTTTAATAATCTGTGATTTTTGCACAGTCTAGCTAGAAATCTGAATATGAAAGTCAATAAATCTTAGCTCTGTTCTGTGTTATTTGTGTTGTGAACATTTATATTTGATCCTCCTCCATTGTAAACTTTAAAAAAGAATGGATCACTTGACCTTTCCATAGTCAATGTAAAGATAGGGCTGTGGAACCTGTGGAAGGGAACTGCCCAGCAATTGCCCCAGTAATTTAGGAGTCAGGGTAATGTTAATTGTAAGGATGTAAGGATTGTTAATTGTACTTGTAAGGATTGTATTCTTGGATGCTTTTTATTATGTTACTACTTTGTAAACAACTTGGGGAATATGTCAAATGATAGTTTTAATTTACATACACAAACTTATATGAAAAGAAAAGCACATGAAAAAAGAAAGGAATACATAAATTAAGAGCTTCAAACGGTAAAAATGAATGCATATCCAAAAATTTTTAGGGCTTTTATAATTCTGACATAGACCTGAAATGCATTTGTCATGTCATCATACATTATTTCAGTATGTCCTAAATTCTTGTTTATAAATGGTTGTATTTGGCTTTTTAATTCCCTAGATTGAATATCTTTGCCTCTGCCCAAGTTTATGACCATTTATATTGAATTATCTAGAGGTTCCCAAATGAATGATAATCAGTCATTTTGATACTAAAAGCTTTCTAGCAGACATGAATGATTAACTGCCATCATCTCTAGATTTTTCTTTTACATACAACTTCTTTTCCCCTGAAATTAACTAATGTTACCAGAAGAGAAAGATGAATAAAAAAACATTAAATTGTTCTGCCCCAATACAAATGGGAGACACTGGAATTTCTCGGGGGAACTGAAAAATTTTATATTAAAATTTAGTTGAGGGTATTTGCATTAATATTATTGAGGGAAATGCATCCACAGTCCTCTAAGCCACCAGTAACACCTTGGTTTATCTACCACTGTCACTGTGTTCATACAATATAGGAAACTTTGAAAAGATGAAGACCAAATATTAGGGATGAAAACAGAAATAAATATTTCTCAATTAGTCTAAGTTTTGCCCACAGTGGGGAGGGTTTTTTTTTTTTATGGCTATTTGCTTCTTCTTTTTTTTTTTTTTTTTTGGTGAGGAAGATCAGCCCTGAGCTAACATCCATGCTAATCTTCCTTTTTTTTTTTCCTCAAAGCCCCGGTAGATAGCTGTACATCGTAATTGTACATCCTTCTAGTTGCTGTATGTGGGACGCGGCCTCAGCATGGCCAGAGAAGCGGTGCGTCGGTGCGCGCCCAGGATCCGAACCCAGGCCGCCAGTAGCGGAGCGCGTGCACTTAACCACTAAGCCACGGGGCTGGCCCTCTATTTGCTTCTTTATTTCTTCCTTTATCTCCTGAAAGTATACAACGCTACTCTTACCTTTTTTCCTTGTCCAAAAAAAAACAAAAAAATTTTTTTTCTAAGATGGATTTTCTAACCCTATCAGTTGTCCATTCTAGCATGTCATGCTGAGATTTGGATTAGGGAAAAGGATCCAGAGCACCCATTTTTAAAATTTCACAGTAACTATTTCATGACAAAGACTGATTCATTTAGAAGAATGTAAGCCACACTCTTTGCCTCTTTCTACCTTTCTTCACTAGACTCTCAAATCCTCTTAGGATGATCTCCCTCTCCCAACCTGCCTTACAGTTCTTTCCACTGCGCACTGCTCAGATCTGTTGACTATATAAATTTCTTTATTGCTCAACTGTCATATACAGCAAAGCCTAACAGATAGATGGAGAAAGCATGATTTAAGTTTATACCAATTAACTGATGCCACTGTAAAGTCTAAACTGAGAGGTTTTGGCCATATAATGCTTTATGGAACTTTATCTCAGTTGCCCCAGCTTTGTCTAACAGACTATAATGTTGGATCTTTTAGAGAGCTTAATTGGCATAAAATAATGTTTCTTCTCTGCCCTTAGATTGTGTGGCCTGTATCTTACACCAGACGGGATGAATGCAAATGGGCTGGAAAAGATATCCTGGTAAGTATCAATCCACTAAATTATTTTAGTAATTACGTAAGTGATTTATTACTCTGTCATCATTTTTGTTCGGCGTTATATTAAACACCATGCTTTACTTGTGGCCTTAATCACTTTTTAGAAACAAAATAATATTTAATTTTGGATATCGACGTTTTTATGTAGAGCATTGACAGTTTTATATAAAGAAAGTGGGTAAAAATAACAATCACCTAAATAAAGCAAAAATATGTTCCCTTTGATAATTTATATATATGCAAAAAATTAACAAAATGCAGTTTTGTAGCATATATACTTATACTCTGTAAGTCAACTTCTTTGTACAGATTGGTTTTCATATGTTAATTCATTTTGAATGATATGAAATTTTTCTACCTCTGAGTCATCATGATTAAATTACCCAGCCTTCCTTCTTTCCATTCCCTTCCTTTTCTTTCTTTTCCTTTCCTCCCTTTTTTGCTTCCTGCCTTTCTTCTTTTTTCCCCTTTCTTCCTCCCTCCTTCCTTCTTTTCATGCATTCATTCCTTAAATAAATATGGATTGAGAAATGACTGTTTAACAGGCATGGTCCTGGGTACTATGGAACAAAAGATGAATGGTAAGCAATCCCTACAATGGTTTTACCATTGTAAAATGGTAGAGGCCGTTTTTCCTGAGGTAAACTTTGTCAGTAAAATTAAGTGGGCCATTGGTTTGAGATATAGCCAAGTATTTGCACAGATCACGAAAAGCAGTTATAATCATTTAAATCAATAAATTAAAATGAATTACAGGACTTAAAGAATATATTTGTATTATTTTATGTCTTAAACATTTTTGGATGTCTAAAACACAAGAAAATAAATTTAAAAGTTTTGTCTGTGTATTAGCATTTAGAAGAACTTTATCCTATGTGCCTAAAGACAAAAATCAACCTGTGTGTTTGTATATAGATATATAGATATTTTCCAGGGACAACTTGATTGATTGATAGCAGTTGCCTTAGATGATGTATTTGTTCAGAATGTTTTAGAGATAGAATCTGAGTTCGTGGGAAAAGAATGCCTCAATCTGGTAGCAGTGTTGACTATAGGTGAAGGAAGGTAGATAAAGGAGCATAAAGCACAGGTATTCCCCATCTTTGATTAATTGCATATCAGCAAGCATGGGAATTTCATCCTTGAAAATTTCATTTTAAATATAATGATTATAAGTTACAGTATACCTGCACAGTATGTATGTATGTATATATACTGTATGTATGTATACATTATACATAGTACAGTAAACATTTTTCTGGGTGTGTGAAAGTAGACGAAAAAACCTGTTCTATCAAATTTTATATTATCCCAAATTGATACATATGTTGGGATGGTTGGAAAGGAATAAATAGAAAGAATGAAGTAGGAGTCTAGAGAAGCCAAGAATTTTATGTTGATACCCCCACTGGCTCATTAATTGTACTTGAACAAGTACCTTAATTTTGGGGGGCTTTAGTATCTTATCCATTGAATGGGACATTACGTATTTTACTTGTAAGAAGCAAGTTTACTAGTTTTTGTGAAGATTATTTAAAAGTAGAAAATACGTCAGAAGTATAAGGCAAAAAATATAACTGAATACAGAAATTTATTAACATCAAAATGTCATGTTTACCATTAATAAATTATGTTGAAAGATTTCAATGTGATAATAATTAAGGATGGATAGAAATAGAGATTCTACCTGTATACAACTGTGACTTTGAAAAACACAGTCTTTCTCCCTTTCTATTAAAGTTTAACAGGTGAAGACATGGAAACATATAATTATTGAGAATCTTTTCTGTGCCAAGTACTATGATAATTTAAATAGTATTTTGTAAATGTAGTTTTAACAATAACTTTATGAGGTGAGTATCATTACCCCTGTTTTCTTGATCAAGAAGTATAATGATTCAGAATATTCATTCAAGATCTTTTCCCATTCAAAATTTTTGCAATGTTTTGAGTACTATGCCAGAACTGAGATAAAAATTTCTGTGCCTCTGATAAAGTTTTTGGTGTTCTGTGGCATATATGGATTTGAACTTGCCTAATAACACGCAGATAATAAGCAATAGATATTCAAATAAATATTTTACCTATTCTGGTCTCATCAAGTTTATGGGTATAATAATAACCAGCTCACAGCATTCCTGTAAGACTCAAATAATCACAAGTGAAATTATTACACAGAGTGTAGTGCACAATAAAATACTATTGTTATTATTGGTATATGAAATAGAGTTGCTTAGACAATTTCTAAGTGAAAACATCGTTAATGAAATTAGTTTGCACTTCTTTTTTTTTTTTGCTGAGGAAGAATCACCCTGAGCTAGCATTCTGCCAATCTTCCTCTATTTTGTATGTGGTTGCTACCTCAGCATGGCCAGTGGACAGTGGTGTAGGTCCACGCCTGGGAACCGAACCCGGGCCGTTGAAGCAGAGTGCACCGAACTTAACCACTGGGCCCCAGTTTGGTTTTCTTTAATGATCAGGACCACTGTAGTGTTGCACTGTTCTGAATTCAATTTAGTTTGAAAATTGAAGATAACAACCATACTTATCTGTCAAATTATCTGGATTTTATAATAAGCACTGAAGCCATGTACTGAGCATATTTTGTTTAATGACTGAATCAACTCATTCAGTTGCTAAGTTAGCAAATATTCTTTTGTGTTTGTGATTTCCAAAATTCATCTCAGTGCATTTTCCTTATCTTTTATGGCTTTCCCCTCCGCTCTCCTTCCCTATCACTACTGAACACTGAGGGATTCTGGTGTTAGCCCAAATACAGTTAGTTCAGCAGCTGCAATAAAGTCATAATCCCCACAGTGCCTTCTGGGTAACCCTAATCATGACTTCAGAGGTTTCCTCTCTAAGAAGGGAAACTTGGTTGTATTTTCCAGGCTTCCTTAAAATGCTTATGGGTTTCATAGAACTAAAGTAAAAGGAACTAAGACATATGGCATTTGCTAAGTCTGATACAGGGTATCAATGGCACTTGATCATTTCATAGCACCCTGTAATAAAGATTCTGAAAACTTATAAGTCACGTCTTACACATTATGGTAGAGATAGGTAATTATGTGTGCATTGAGAGAGATAAATTTTTGAAAGTTTAATGGTATGGCAATATTAGTCATACTAATCTTTTTAGAAGTCAACTACTTAATGTAACATGATAAAATGTCTGTGCTTTGGTTATTCCTTTACATTCTGCATTAAATCAATTCAATTGTTATAGATTTTGATTTCTCTTTGTTAAAACTTATTTAATGAAAGGAAAACACAACAGTTTTCATATAGTTTAGTTCAAGGAAAAATGTATTTTTCCTTTAGCTCTAAACACTAAACACCAAACACTAATATATATTTAAATAGGAAAATATATTTTCATACTACTTTTCCTGGTAATCCATCTCATTCCATTAATGTTGCTTTTCATTGACTTTATTCAAAATATATTTTATGCATTTGGAACGCATTTTATTAAAATTTATTTTACTTTTCAGGTGACCTCATTTATGTACCTGAATTACATATCTATTTCATTTAAATAGGATATATGCCATTTATTGATTATTTTTGGACTTTAATATACAGACCCACTTTTTTCCATTTCTTTTTTAATATATGATTTTAGAAAATAGCAAGTAGTTGGCTTTTTGGGCTTTGTAACATTTCTTCCTTGATAAACATAAAAAAAAAAGGTTGATATTTTTAGTAATAATTTCTTAAATAATCAGAAAAAAAATTAAGGGTAAAGAGGTTTTTTTTTAAAGACCTTTGGAAATTCTTTTTTTGTTTTTTGAGGAAGATTGGCCCTGTGCTAACATCTGTTGCCAATCTTCCTCTTTTTCTTTTATCTCCCCAAAGCCCCAGTACATAGTTGTAGAGATGTAGCTCCTCTATGGGGGAGGCCGCCTCAGCGTGGCTTGATGAGCGGTGAGTAGGTCCACACCCAGGATCCGAACTACAGAACCCTGGGCCGCCGAAGTAGAATGTGTGAACTTAACCGCTATGCCACCGGGCTGGCCCCGAGGGTAAAAAGTTTCCACAATTTTCATTCAACACCTGATTTGCAAAGTGACACATAGACAGTTTGAGGGAAATTCTTCACTGTATCTTGAGTAAATAATAGTCAGCTGTGGCTTATGGACAATAATTCCTTTCAAAGAGCTCTTGTGATGCTGAAAACCACAAGAATGAGACTTGAGAGGGTTTTGTAGCCATCAGGCCTCCAAGATAGAATTGTAACCCAAATGGGAACTGACCTGAACATTTATAGAAAAGTAAACTAACAACCTCCTTGAGTGCTCTCTGTGGTTTCTAGAGCCCAAGTTTACCCTTTTCCTGCTGGTTTTAGCGTTTTCTGTAAAAATCCTCTGGAAACAAAGCTCTGTTAAATAAACCTTCCTGGAGGAAGGTCTATCTTCTTGGGATTAGGTTCAGATATAAGAATACAATAGGAAAATACAATGGGAAAGTGGAGCAAAGACACTAGCTAATTTTATATATCCCGAGAGTGCATCATTCTTTTGTTTTTTTGTGAGGAAGATCGGCCGGAGCTAACATCTGCCAATCTGCCTCTTTTTTTTTTTTTCCCCTGAGGAAGATTGGCCCTAGGCTAACATCCATGCCCATCTTCCTCTACTTTATATGGGACGCCGCCACAGCATGGCTTGCCAAGCGGTGCGTCGGTGTGCGCCCGGGATCCGAACCGGCGAACCCCGGGCCGCCACGGCGGAGCGCGTGCACTTAACCACTTGCGCCACCGGGCCCGCCCCAAGAATGCATCATTCTTAAGTGTGGTTAAGATGGCATAGCCATCTGGGAAGTCAAGATATGCCACTGAATTGAACCTACATAGTTCCTGTGTCACTGAGTGTAGCATCATACAGAAAATTGAACCCTTCCCCCATTCTCCTGGGCAGCTGGGAAGATGCAAGCCATCATTTCTCAGTTTTTGCATCAAACACATATGTTAAATCAGCAGCT